GATATGCATGTGAGCATGAGAGAGAGGGATAGTACATGTTGATTTGAAGAAAGAGCATTTTGCCTCATAGCTGCGACCGACGGTATCTTGGGCACAGATCTTGCCCTAATCAAATCTTCTTTTGTTACTCGACGAATGAGTACTGTTCTGATAGGGCAAGGTTCTCTCAACCTAAATCTTACCAATTTTGCATCTGGAGAAGTTTTGCGCAAGCGAGTAACATGTAGATTTTGCTCCATCTACAGGAAGAAAAAGCTGCTTATAGACGTATCAAGTAGATCATTTCACCTAAATGATACGATAGCGGTCCGCATATTTATCAGTTGATTTAGGAGAAAATGATGAATTTTTTACCTGAACATTATGATTCTTCAGTAGAGGATGATCGAGTGCCGGTTGTTTGTTTACATCAATACAATCAATTGTATCTCCTTCTTTAGTCTTGATTCCCAAGGTCAGTCGTTCGTGGAGCAGCAATTGTATTTCAAAGATTAACGGGGGTAAATTGCAATATCTCCATGAAATCTAAACGAGACTATTGCAGAAAAAAGGTTCGAACGAAAACTACCGTAATGGCCTTGATGGATGGCTTGTTCATAGTTCTAACCTGTCTTTCCAATTCTAAATCATCCTCTTTGGAAATATTTGCCATCTCACATGGAGAAAGATTGAAAAATAGAAGCAGCAACATCACAAGTTCCATATTTGGTTTCATGGTGATGGAAAGAAGCGTAAAGTAAGGCCCTCTAGCAGTTAGCTATGCTTGCTTAATATATTGCGAGAATTTCATTCTTTGTCCATAATATATACCACCCAGCAATCTCATGCCCTCATAAGTACACATAGCAGAAAAAGAAAATATGGAACTGACCAGCAGGATACTAATCCCATAATTACTAGGGTTACTACCATGAAAAATCCTAAATTAGTACCCATATGATAAATTTACTCAAAACTAATTTTTTGATCACCAAAAACCCCAAAGTGGTACACTTGTGACAAATTTACTTTCCATTAGTTTCCATTAAATTATTTAGTCAAATTACTGAGTTGAATGGCGCGTAGCAGTTGACAAGTGTACCAGTTTAGGGTTATGACCCTCTATTTATCATAGATTTACCAATTTATGATTTTTCGTGGTATTAATCTAATTTAACAGAGGGAAATTTGTCACAAGTATACCATTTTATGATTTTTTGTGGTAAAAAAATCAGTTTAAGGTAAATTTGTCACAGGTGTACCAGTTTGTAGTTTTTAGTGATTAAAAAATTAATTTGGGATAAATTTATCATAACTGTATTAATTTGAGGTTTTTTATGGTATTAATCTTAATTACTAATTACTTTCCGTTGCAATGATGACAAATTCACAAGCCGAGTATAGTAAAAAAATAAAATAAAAAGGAAAACAGAAAATAGTATCTCAGCCCTACACCTACGAATCAGCAGGTAACACAATAATGAGATTAGACCCTTTTGCACCAATTTTTCGTGTTTCCATATTTTCTCTCCGAATTTATGGATTTCCCATTTTATTTTTTCTTATTACGGTCAATTTCAGCCCTAAAAAAGGAGGTTGCATATTGGGAATTGGCAGAAAAAGAAAAAAAAAAGGCTTTCCCATACAGGGCGTGGGAGAGAGAAAGGGGGCCACGAGAGGGAAAAATTCAAAATTGGGTCTCCAGAAGAAATTTTGTTTTTCTTTTTTTAATTTGCGCATTTAATAATTTTGCTATTTCACCATCGCCTGCACACATGTGCAAGTTTATTTTTCTAGCTCTGTTTGTTGATTACATTTTGCTTGCTACTAATGATGTTGGTTTGTTACATGTAACCAAGAAAATTTTCACTAAGAATTTTGAAATGAAAGATATGGGCGAGACAACATATGTGATAGGAATAGAAATATTCCGTGATAGATCACAAGGATTGTTAGGGTTGTCTTAGATAGACTACATTATTTGTTAGACGAGGGCCGACGAGGCTTCGACCAGGCCAAGCGAGGGTTGTCGGCCCTCACTTGGAGCCAGCGAGGCCTTGCCCAAGGCGGGCATTGGTCGCCTTCCCTAGGTGAGGGCCGGCGTTGCCTAGATCTGCCCTCACTCGGGCCTGGCTAGGGTCACATGCCCTTGCTGGGGACTGGTGACCTCTGCTGGCGCCTTTGGCGATGGATGTTGGCAGCGGAACACACCACCGACGACCTTGCCATTCTTTTCTTTATTTTTAATTTTTTTAAATAAAATTTTAGCTTTTCTTTTTTAGTTTTTTAATCTGATTTAGATAAGATTTGAATAAAAAAATGCCATGTAGGAAAGAGAGATTAATTTAAAAATGCAATGTTAGTATTTTTCGTTAGTCAAACCGATAGCATTAACGAAAGAACTTGATTGCATCAATTTAACAAATTTTAGAACTTGATTGCACTTTTTGAAAATTTTAGAAATTAATTACACTTCTGCGACGAGTTTTAAGGATCCTAGTGCACTTATCTCTTTCTAATATTCCGAGTATTGACTCGCTTACCTATATTATTATTCGAGTTGAAACAAGCATCTTTGTGTCAGAACCCATTAGTACTTGGACTCAAAATTAGACTCACATCTTACTACCAAACATAAGAACTAACATGTTATGAACAAACACACAACTTTTTTACAACGTCTCATAAAATCTACACTTGGAAATATCATAATTTAAGCTTTGATACCAATAAATGTCACACCCCAAACCCTACATGTATCGGGGAAATGACACCATCGTCCTCTTACTCGAAAGGTGCAGCCTCAAACGTAACCATCAATAACTTGTTATCATAATATATATCTCTGTCTATATATCTGATAGAAGAGTAATATGGATCAGCATTCTAAAATCCATCAACAACATATTTTTCCAAAGAAAGAAAACAAACCTCAATAAATACCATTTCAGACATATTTAACTATCTAAACTCATATTCACAATCTAACTACGATAAGTTCCCTGATGATATCACTCTTGTTTTACTTGTGGCTAGCTAAAGAATTTGAAAAAGATTGAAATGAATGGGGTAAGCAATTATAGTTTAGTGAGTAGTGCATATCTCTTTTAAGTACATCGAGCACCCACTATGCATATTTACAAAGCAATACAAGAAACTCATTATTCTCAAATCTAGCATATAATATACGTACCAGATCAAATATGAGTCATTTCTTTTCTACAGAGCTTTATACTTATAAAAAATACTCATTTAAATTAACGACACTGAATCCCATATCAATGGTCCATTCCATTGATCAATCTCATGCTTAATATCCAACCATGATCACGACATAACTCCTTGTGACAAGGCAACCAAGATTTCCCCCATTGGCAAGTCTCCACCTATTATCAGCCAATGGCTCGGCTTAGAAGGATATCCGAAAATCAGTATGCATAGCTAGAACCCCTAACTGAGTTCACAACGATAATAAGCATCAAACCATCATCCTCTAATAATCCACAAACCAAATCCAAATCCAGGATCCATTTCATAAATTAAAATACATTTCACAATCCATTTGAGAGTTCACTTCGTGAACTAGGTTTACAAATATATACAACCTTTGACAACATCTTTCCTAAAACATTTCTCAAACTAATCATAATTACCAAAACGTAGTAAATGCCCAATCCAAATTTTATGCAAGAAATTTGCTCTTAATAACTCATTATCTCTATCACTTTTAAGATATGACTATACAGTTCCAAAGAAGAGATAAAACCACTTATCCGAGAAAGCTGAAAACCATACTACGAAGTTATTTGAACTGGTGAACTCATAATCCTATTAATTTAGTGGAAAACGATATCAAAATCAAGTAAAATGCTACTTTAACTACGAATCGACTAAATTAAGCTTATCCGATGATAAAACGACTCATATGCACTAACAAAACACTCGCCCAAAGCTAATATTCGTTGACGTTCGCTCATTCGCTACGTACAGCTTGCACACGAAGCTTTAAATATTCATCTCAATTAAACAGTAATTCGCAAACGATTTTTTGTCAAACCTCATGGATCCACAACACCCTAAACTATCATTCCATATAATTCCATAGCTAAATAACTCATAAATTGGACTTTGCAGTTCAAAATTCACACAACTCTGAACTTATGCCCTAACTGCGAAAATTACTCCGATTAGATGAATCAAGGGCTTGAATCCTTACCGGTCATTGTGAAATGTGGAGTTAATCCGACTTATCGAGACGTTCGAGGCGTGTACGCATGAATATTTTCCTCTCTTTTTCTTCGTTTTCTCTTTCTCTGTTCTAAGTAAGAACGCCTTCCTCTCTGTCTTTCCTTCATTCTCGATCGTGTCTTCTTTCTCTTTTAAGTTCAATTGGTTTCTTTCTTTCTTTGTTTTTTTTTAAACCTTCTGTCCATATTTATAAGGCAACCTCTTAGGCGGTGGACTCAGTAACTTGACTTGTCAAAACCAAGAACCAAACACTCAAATATACTGAGAAACTGCTCATAGAAACCCTAACGCGGCCCCTCCAGACATCCCATCCAAGTAGACTAGACATTAGACCTTGAGGCAGGTCGGTTCGGGCATAGCTGGAGACTCATGAAGAAATTGATTTGGAAAGACTTTAATAGAATTCTTGCAAGGAAAGAAAGAAAATTGTTATCTAGAGAAGATATACAATAGTAGATAAGTCATGAAGTAAGACTCATTAAGCCTTTAATAGTCTGGATTTAAGTTGATTAGAAGTGCTAACCTGCTTCAAAATTGTGGCCGCATTGACCGCAAAAAACTAAGACGAAATTCGACAAACCGCAATTCAAAATCTGAACATCCCAAACATATGCAAGCTCATGTGTCATGAAAAGCTGCACAATTTTTGTTTATGGACTAACGAGTGTTGCAAATGATCAAATCCATATTTGCAGAGTATATGTTCGCCTTGATTCTTGAAAGATGATATCCGCAAGTTTAATTGGAAGTGATCGACTTAAATAAGACTTAAATAAGCAAATTGAAATTTTATATAGGCGGCTTACATAGATATAAAGGTATGGTATTAGTCTAAACCACCAGATGGATGATAGAAGAGAGGCCATTCAAAACCATCACCTCGGGGTTACATGCTCAGAAACTAAAGTTTTTATCACCTGTTCTCATTATTTATTTGATTACAGTGCCCGCAATTGATCTAATTTATATGCGATATCCCGTTCCTGTTGCTGATTCCAATCTTGAGGGTGGATAGCCTCTCCAAGAAGAGGTTGAATACTTCTTCCCTGCTCAGCATGCTAACCCTGACATACATCGGATCTGCCCCGAAGCGATTCCCGCTCCTTGTCAATATCTTGTGTCCTCTCAGCAAGCTCTCGCAGTCCTTCACTTTGTCATTGCATTTCAGCCATGCAAATGCTGTTAAGAATATCAGAAAATGAGATAGCCTCATGAGGACCTTCGCTTCCCTTACACTTTTCTTTCTGCCATCAAATAGCAGAGTTGTCTAACGGAATAAATCCTTACCTGACTTGTGAGATTTCTTGTTCTGATTAAGACAGAGTAAGTATGCATACATAAGATTTGTGCCTCTATTTCTCGATGTCGTCAAACTGAGAAAACATTATATCAGGGAGAACAATAGTTCTCTTATTGTTGCTTCACAATGCAGTACAGAAAAGAATTCCGAGACTTGATCTGACAATGTTAGTATTGTTTTCAACTTCTGGAATAACTACCACAATGATTAACATGCAACTTACTATTAAAACTCTGACTATTTGCAAATGGGTATGGAGGGTGGATGTTAGTGAATACCTGGATGAGTCTCGCAAAACTCGGTTGAGAAGAGGCAGTAATTTTTGGGGGATTTGGTGAAGCTGAAGATCTCACTGCGCTTGACGACTTCATGCAGCTTGTCCCACCTCTCAGTCATGAGGCGCTTCGCATGATCGAAGAAGCTCTCTGATTTAGTGTTGGCACCTAATGCTTGGCAGTCGTCGCAGATTGTCCCTAAAATCTTGGCAGCTCGAAGTTGGGATTCCTTGGACACGCCGATCGTGGTCACTTCCATGAACTTGGTCATCTTCACAGCCACTTCTTTGTCCTTGACAATAGCCCAACTTTTGAAGGAGCAAAATGATACAACCGATCACAAAAGAGAAAGATACAACCAGTGAAAGATCAATCCAGGTTTCCATAGACGTGACAAAAGCCGTTTGAATCTTTATTTCTTGAAAGACTATCACGGTAGGCCTACTAATTATGACTGCGCTCACAACTTAGAAGAAAAGTTGAATTTTCTCAAAACTCTCGTTTAACACCACTTGGAGATTCATAATTCTTAGTACAAGGTCCAATTCATCATGCTAGTGTTGCAGGGGAGGCTAGGCTTACCCAATTCGAGAACCGGCATGACCGCTGCACTTTGAGAAGGTGAACAGCATGATGTCATAGTCAGCTTGATGAGTAATCGGAGTGTAGTGCGGCCAATAATAGGCCAGGTCGTGCACGAACTTCCCGTTTGGGCGGTTCACCGTGGCCTCACGGATTGAGCCATCGGGGTTGTTCGGCGAGGTGATGATCTCGATGAATGGCCCGTCCTTGTTGAAGCTGTGCGCATCGCCCTCCCATTTGTAGAGATTGGATTGAAGGAGCTCTGTGACTTCTTGATAACACTGCAACAAAGAAAAAGATTTAGAAGCTCAAAGCCAATTATCCCCATATCTGTATTGAAGTTGTTGATCATTTTCATACATTTTCGGTATGATGGTGCACTGTCGCGATTACTTGTACCATATTTCATGCTACTATAGCTGTTAGATCATGTGAGGGGTTAAGATGACATAAATCCAAACCGAGTGCCCCAATAAAGAGTGCACACTCCTACCTTCTGAGCCAACCCTTGTCTTAGCTAATAATGAAATGTAAATAGAGTTCACGTTCGAATTCCGTAGATCAAGGATTAATGTTAAGCACCAGAACATGCATGCACCTGAATACTGACGGAGGACAAGATTATATTAAAGTTTGAGCAATGAGAAAGTGCCTGATATTAATTCCAACAAAGTGAAGAATTCTCTTTTCCCTCTAAATCTGAGACTCTGATAGGGCTCTCCTCTCCATTTCCAATACAGAAGCCATCATTATAAGACTGAGAGTTCTTCGATTTAGGCCTGATCTTGACTTGATAGTCTATCCTATCGGGTCTTGAAATGTCGACAAAGGAGAAAGAAAATCCTTCTGCTCTTAAAATACTCGTCTTTTCTTCTTGATTGACTAAAAAAGCGACTACACACTACAGTTCAGATGCAGCACCAATAAACCAACCAAGCGTCTCTATCTTTTCAGACTTCATGGGTTACCATGGGGACCAAACTCCACGTGACCATGTTACTGCACCACTATGAATGAGCTTGCCTAGGTTATGGCGTATGCATGCATGTTTGTTCGTCTTAAACATTTTGGTTGCTGGTTTTGAGGAAAACATGTCTGTCCACTTTGTCTGGCATGTCTGGCATGTTTCATTTCTTGCCCCCTTGTCCAGGCAATCAAAATTTGAGATCCGGGTATTCGTTATCTCAGTCAAAGTCAAATCGCTATTAAAAAACAAATAGAACTATATAATTCAGAGAGACCACATATCCTACTCTAACTAAGTTTCTTCTCTTCCAATGACTCTTGTACCAATGCAAACATATCACATCACACCACGGGATTAAAGGCAGAATTGCTCACCGATGTTCATGTTCACAATCACTTACTTCTCTGTAGGTGGGTCATGGTCAAGGTTGGTCACTAACCTAGTCTTCATTGGACTGATGCTAATACTATCAAAACAAACATCAAATAAAGGAAAAGGAAGATCAGACCGTCAAACCAATTCTCGCAAAAGGAGAAAGCCACTCGACCTGTCAATGTCAGTTCGATACACATTTCATCCAACTACAGCCGCAGCACAGGCACACCATCGATGGTCCTTTTTCAATTACGGCAATCATGGGCCTCTCAAAAAGATCGATTTCATTTGTATTTTACTTCACAACTAAGCCGTGTCCCTACCACTACATTCGATACTCCCCCTTTCTCCTTACTTTCCAATTGTTAACTGAGATTTGCGATTTCTCTTTTCTGCTGCGAATACACCCTATAAAGGGATTGGCCGACCCCAAAAAAAGAAAAGGGAAAGAGGAGGAGGAGGAAAGCAACGGCATTTGGGCGACGAGACCGCACTTAAATTAAGCGTGGCGTAGTGGCTGAAGCTGACAAGTGTCGTGGCCGAAGCTGACAAGTGTCGTGGCGAATCCTCCGGCGACACTGAGACCGGCCCACGAGCCGACTGAGCCATGCAACCGACACGCTGTGCTCCACCACTCGCAGTCGCTCGCTGACATAGCCCATGTTCAGTTGACTTATAAACCCCCACCAAAAAACAAAAGAAGAACAAAAAGAAATTTTTTTTTGAAAAGGGTAATAAGAAAATTGAGGAAAAAAAAGTGGGTCGTCATCTTTCCATCGATTTGCAAAACGTGGCCTCCGAATTTGCGGAGAAGAAGGCAAGACGGCAAGGGGTTTGTTATTTGCATTAATGAAGGAAGTTTAATTGGAAGAAGTTAAAATGCAAAAAAAGAACAAAAAAAAAGTGAAGGACAAAGAGGAGGAAAAAATTAAAGAAAAGAAAGAAAGAAGAAAATCATGTTTTTTTTTTTGGTCAGAAAGAAGAAAATCATGTTGAACGTCTATTTAGTGATGTGCTAATTGGAAATAAATCAAAAGAGGGACGGCGGCGGCGGCGGCAGCGAAGAAGACTAATTACGATTCGACACATTCACGTTGAAAATGATCGAAAAATCAAACTTACGTGGCAAGGTTAAATCTTGATCTTTTGATGTCACAGCTGCGGTTCAACGGCGCCCGAATGATTTACTATACATGGCAAATGCGACGAGACGGGCAATTATTGGCGGGGAAGACGAGGGGAAGCCGGAGAGCGGAGGCCGCGACGCGACGCGATGCATACGTGTCGGGATAGCAATGATGGGTTCGGTCGAGGAGCAGGGGGCTTACCGAGTAGAAGGGCGCGGCGCACACCACGCTGGTGGGCTGGGGCAGGCCAGGCGGGCAGAGGGCGTAGAGGGCCGCCTGGAAGAGCTGCGTTGAGCCGGTGCCGACCACGATGTGGCGGCCGTCCTCGGCCTCGGCCGCGGCGTTCCCGACGACGCGGTGGATCCTCCGGATGGACTTCTCGAGCTCCGGCACCAGAAACCAGCACGTGCTCCGAATGTTGCTGATGTAGCTCATCAGGTCGCTCCCTGAGATCACCAGGGAGCACCTGTCTCCCATGCTTCTCCAGTATGCCTCGTACATTGTCGGATCGCCCCTGTCACAAAAAAAAAGAACAGATTAAAACCAAAAAAACTTTAATTTCCGGAATGGATCATAGCCCCCCTGAATCTAAATAGATTTTCTTTCTCCATTCTTGTCAGCCTAGGTTTGACTCGGCGCGGTCTAGCATCAAGGCGACACACACACACACTCAATGCGGACAAAAGGGAAGGATCGGATCGGAATCCTAGGACGACGACGACCGGGGACCGACGACTGAGATCGAAAAGGACATACACGTCGAGGTTGATGACGGAGTCCGGCGACGCGGCGGTCGGCCAGGTCCCGTTGGAGACGGCGGGGCGTCTGCTCGCCAGGGCCGGGTTCTCCGTTCCGCACATTTCCGTTCTCTCGCTCTCCGTCACCATCTCTCTGTCTCTGTCTCTCTGTGTCTCCTCTGAAATTGAAATGAAAGAGATGGGTTGTTGGGGACTCTCGGCGACGGTTCTCGCCGTCTGTATGCGGGGGGGTATATATAGCGACAGGGAGGAGGAGAACGAGGAGGAGGAAGGGGGAGGAAAAAAAGGTAGGCTGCTGAATGCGTTATCTTTTGTTCAAATAAGGTAAAATTTCGAGCTTAGTTTAGCAAGTTCACTACTTACTTTCCGAAAAATTTGGATTCTATCTTTTGTTCAAATAAGGTAAAATTTCGAGCTTAGTTTAGCAAGTTCACTACTTACTTTCCGAAAAATTTGGATTCACCCCCCCCTTGTTGAATCGAAGAACTAGGAAGCTTAGTGATGGTATCTTCTAGGGCATTTGGAAAAATGGATTTTTTACCTCTTTTGAAGGATTGACATCCCATTTTCTCTCTCTTTCTCTTTCTTTTTCTTTTATGTGGGTGTATCCAAAACCATTAATAAGTGAGTTGTTAGGGGGTTCGAATGGGAAATTCCCACTCATTGCTTGGCTTTTTTCAATAAATATTGGTTGGACACGGCAAAAAAAATTTCTCGCCGGGTTGGGTTTTAAAATATGTGTTGGTTTTTAAATTTTACCAGTGATCGTTTTCAAAAAGCACTAAGGCTCTTTCCATCCCTCGAATAACTTTGAACAATGCCTTGGAATTTGAATGGTTCGTAATAGCTCTAGTCAGGATCTCGTTAATGGTAGAATTCAAGAAAGAGGGGAAATATATCTTTAATGTAGATGGATGAATTTAATGATTAGCCATCTAAGAATTGAGTATCTAAATAGATTTAGTGATTGCGATACTAATTTGAAAGTTTATTTATTTACAATGTCTTTTTAAGGTTCGATCTCTAATGACTCCTCGTAATCTACGGTTCTTTAGCTCATATATTTTTTAGGGGAATTCTTTGGTTAAAGTTGTGAACTCTCTATGAGTATAATTATATAAAAGAAATGTTAATTAACAAAGATTACCAACAAGATTCAAATTCCTTATAATAAAAAATCCTTTACCAAAATTAGCTCGAGCACATTAGTAAGTAGAAAAGAAAAAATTAAATTCGTATAAAATGAATGGAAAATGACATAAGGTGGTGGAATAAAACATCATTATTTTGATTAACACGGACAATTTTGCATATTCATGACAATATGTGCGGCCGTTACGTTTTCAATAAATAGCAACTTTCACCATTTCCATCTGTAATTTGATTAATTAGTTTCCTTGGGGTTATTTTAGTTCACTCAATAAGATAAGGAGTGTTATAGCCATTTAGAGTGTGAAAAAATGTGAACTAAGACAAAAAAGGAGGGATACTTCAGTGGACAAGATAATATTCCAATTTTATCTTTCAAATTAAAAGAATTGATTTGATTTCGATGTAGACATGGCCACGGTTCGGAACTGGCCGATTCCGGTTCGTGGCCATGTATGAACTGGAACTGGCGGTTTCGGGCCGGTTCCGGCCCGATTCGGAACCGGCCGGTAAAAATTAAAAAAATAAATTATGAAATAAAAAAATAATGAATTATCAAATTATGAAAATAATGAATTATTCAATATAAAATGTAATCAAAATATACATTGTAATCAAATTTGGAGAAAAAAAAGAGTTTCTCCACTTATCTGCAGTTTTTGTTTTTTTTGGAACCTGAACCGGGTCCGTAGGCCACGGGCCGGTTCCGATTCCAATTCCGAACCGCGGATCTAGTTAACGGGCCGGTCCCAAATTTGACCCGGGCCGATTTTAGGTCGAAATTGACCCGTGATCATGTCTATTTCGATGTCACGTTGAGAATAATTTAGAATTTTTGACACTTTTGTCTTTGAAAAGAAAATGTTGTTCTTTAAATGAGGTCCTCGATACGCGGAAGAAAAAAAATCCACTCGAAGTACGAGGTGGATATGCTCCTCATTGCCTGGTTGCCACTTCAAAAGAGTCAAAACCACAGTGTCGACCTGAGTATCAAATATCCTGTCTGGCGCAGGAAAGGATATGAATGTCAATTAAAGCAGAGATCTCGGTCGAAATCGACATGCATTGAATATGGGGAAAAAGCTAGGAAGCTTCTCTGTTTTTCCATGGCTTTTCAACTTTATTAGCTGTTCTGTGCTCGAGTGGCTAATCATAAAATCGTTCATCTCCAGCGATAATAGTTTGCTTTCCATCTTCTTTTTGCCTTCTTTAGTTTGTCCTCTCCTCATGGTTCTGTGAAGTCGTCGTTTTTGAATTCGTTTTTTCTTTTTGGATATTTCCACTTGCACGTCGGTTTGATCCGTTCAGTGCTGGATGCAATATTATTTGCTGCATTTGTCATGGAGCACTTTATAGTTGAGTGGAACTCGACTTAGAGACGCTGCATTAGTCATTAGTCTCCAAAGATTCGGTTTAAATAACTTAACATGTTCGATTGTCGAGCTCTTAAATAGAACATTTCATGGCGGTTGTAATACTTTTTGGTAATGCTCAGAGGACATTGCTAATGCTGTTCGTCCCTTCCTTTTGCTTATCGAGAAGAAAAATAAAAGCTCTCGAATTGTCTCGATAAACACTCATTCATCAAGAAGACGGTTCGGCCAAAAAACTGTAAGGAAAACCTCTGTGGTCGAGTTTTTAGATGCTAATGTGGTCAAGCTTGGCGTTCCCACTTACAAATCGGACTCTAGTTTGAGTCGAGCTACATTTGATTAGACTTGTTACTATCCCAAATCTGAGCTCGTCTAGTCCTTACTGACCTATTAGATGATTAAATGTTACTATAAGAAATTAGTTCTACAGATCATCATATCAGATGATTAAATGTTCTATATATTTATATGTTAGGAACGACTTTTATTTAATACTGGGCATGCCAAATTTTGAAATGCATATAGACAACTATCTCTACATTCAAAAGCATATAGTCACATACAACTCACTTTGCTACAATTCTTCGGATTTTTTGTTGCATCAAGGGTACCTTATTTCATGACCTTCACTTTTCTTCTATTTCTACCTTAGAGTTGAGCACTTAATTTGATGTTGACAGGGCAAGCGATCCTTTAGCAGTTGTTCCACAATAGGCTACTACTTCTTTCTAGATAACTTACTTATTTGATGGTGTAGCAAGTAATAGATCGTCGTAGTTTGATCTAGTACACAAGCATAATATCATGCTCTTGTTGATTCGAATGGTTGCGATGATTACTAGAATATGAATACAGTGGGATAGTTGTTTATGTTGGAGAAAAATCCCTATGAATTTTGACGATTTCAAAATTATCCTTGATATAATATCTACTATGATAAGTGCAAATGTTTGTGATGATATCTAAAGGACGGTAATGATACCCATGATTGTTATAGAGCTCTGCGTAAACCAACTAGGATGATGAAGATCTTGACAAGATATGAGCAAATCAAATATGATGTCGTGATCATAAGAAATTGAATGAACCATGGTCAATCTTTTATCATCGTGAAGCAATTGGTAGCTGATTTGCTTCGTAATTTCATTGGAAATCATATCGCAAGTCATTTTCATACAACTTGTCCATAAACAACACCAAGTGACTAGTGATAATCTGCACATGTTGATTACGAGTCAATGTTGTGCAAATATCAAGTCATTGGTGGTGTTGTTGTTGTAACGTTCGTCTAAAGATTCTCGTCAGAGACTATATATATAGTTGTTGGCAGCTGGAAAAGCACAATAGGAGAATTGGAAATCGTCAGAGAACTAGAAACAGCTTTTATCATAACAGTCAGAATATCTGGCGATGTGACAAAAGTAGCAAAGTCTATTTTGGGAAACCTTGCTGATGTTCAAGGGACAAGGTTGTATGGGCAATCTGATTTCAGAACAACAATTCCCAACAACTCCTTACGGCTCTTTACTCCTCAAGACGATATCCAATAGGAAGATTGAAAATGTCTATATAAGAGAGGATCATTGAAGCTCAAAATGGTAGGACGGAAATTAAAAAAGCTGAATGTGTTCATTTGATAGGATTAGTACTTGCTGATTGTAAATTATCTTGGTGATTACTAGTGCATTCAAGCCCCTGTTAGTCTATAGAGTGGACGTAGGCATGAGGATAAAACCGAACCACTATAATTTTCAGTGTGCTATCTTTTACATGCTCATTATTATACACATCTTACTCATAGTACCTTGCGTAATTGTCATTGTTTGCATCAGCTGATCTCTAGCACCAGGACTTGATATTTATCCAATTTGTTACTTGTCATTATCATCTTCGTTGAACAAATAGCATCACTTGATCTTGCTATTGCTTGCCTCTCCTGATTTTCAAGTATTGGTTATTGACTTCCACAAGATTTCTCAAATCTATCAAAACAAAGTATTCACCCCCCCCCCCCCCCCCCTCCTCTAGGCTGCTTAGTTAGCTCCAACAATTGATATTAGAGTTTTGTTGCTTGTTATTTAAAGTGTGTTACTTCTAATCATAAAGATCTTCATCTATGGCTAACTGTGGTGGTTTCTGTGTAAATGATTCACAAGCTCCAAGCAAGCCACCATACTTTGATGGTAGCAATTATGGTTACTGGAAACAAAGGATACAGGCCTACATTGAAGCAACTGATCTTCTCATGTTGGACGTGATTCAAAATGGGATGGTAGTGCCAACCAGTGCTCTTGCTCAGCAAAAAGGTGAAAATGTGCAAGCTGTTGCGGCTCAACAGGAAGAAACTCAGAGAAGAATTACACAAAATGCTAAAGCGAAACATCTTTTGTATTGCGCATTATCTCCATCTGAATTTAATAGAATTTCTTCTTATGTGACAGCTAAGGAAATATGGGATTGACTCTTGCTCACATTTGAAGGAACCGATAGAGTGAAGGAAACAAAGATGAACATTCTTCTCGGAAACTACGAAATGTTCAAGATGAAATATGATGAAATAGTAACTTAGATGCTTACGAGATTCACTGAAATAATGAATGGTCTAGCCAATCGAGGAAAAATCCTCACTGATGGTGAAAAAGTAAACAAGCTACTGAGAGCACTTCCAAAAGAATGGGGTTATGTGAAGACCTCAGTATAGAAACAATGAGAATTCAACCCATCACTATGGATGAGTTGATAGGCACGCTAATGTCTTACG